GTCACGCCAAAGCATTGCAAATGAATTCTATTCTTTTCTGGAAGGAGAATCCAAGAATTGGGTGACTTCCTTCTAATTGTGCTGGGTCTGGGAGGGGGTTGGCAAGGATAAGCAAAAACATCAAGAAACTTCCTACAGCTTTTAGTTTTGCTTTTTTAAAAAAATATTTTATTTATTTTTACTGCATGTCCCCAACCAGGGAGCTGGCCGGCAACCCAGGCATGTGCCCTGACCAGGAATCAAACTGGCAACACTTTGGTTTGTGGGATGACATTCAACCCACTGAACCACCCAGTCAGGGTGTAATTTTGCATTTTCTTAATCAGGCATTTGTTGGTCGTTGCAGCCCCTTGACTGGCTTCTGGAGCTCCCACCCTGCCATTTCTAGTCAATCTGTTTGTTGTTTTCTTGATCTTTCCATAGGAGCAGAGAGTCTGGAGCTTCTGACATCACTGTCAGATGGCTCTAAAAGTTTTATTTTTAAAAAAATTTTCACATTTAGGTGTATGCTATCCAACTCGAATTAGATTTTGTACAATTACCCAGTTTTTTATTATAACTCCATTATGTTCTTGTTACGTGGCGTTGGGCAGGTAACCTCTCTGTGCCTCGTGTTCTTCACCCTAGTGTCTACCTCATCGAGTTGTGGTGAGGCATTTGCATATATGTATGTATGTAAAAGACTCAGAAACGTGGCTGGAAAATAGTACACCCTAAATAAGTGCTGCTTGCCATGAATATTTTTATGTGCTTTTGATCCAGTGCCTTGGAGGCTTCGAGAAGACTGACCTAATGAAATCTAAGAAAAAGGCCCAAATCCACCACCTAGCGTAACCTGAAGACCCTGGTGACTGGGTGGGAGCACGGAGAAAAGCCTAGTGGGTTTGAACAATGGGTTCTATTGTGCTAAATAAATGTGAATTTCCTTTTGCTTCCCTTTCCTTATTTGTGCCAGTATGAATACAAAGTGTTCTGTGTAAGTAGTTTGATTGATCTAATCATTAGCTCAATTTATGCAAACCTCTCACGTCTTTCTTCTTTATTTGTTTCTTGGGTGAACAGGAAAAAAATTGTTTTGTTCAAAATTTCCTAGAACATAGAGGGCCCCTGTACTCAGTTCCCCTAATAATTTTGATTGAAACATGAACCAGGTTTGGGGATTAAGTTTCGGAAAGCCGGAAGCTTACGTGAGTTTAGAGGAGAGTCGATTTGTTTCAGTTGGTTATTGTTTCTGTGCGCTTTATTTAAAAGCTTCCTGGAGTATTTTTAAAATACCGAAATAAATATAACAAGGACATAACCGTCCTGTACTCTTTAGCTAGATTGTACTAATTTTAACTGTGGCTCAACTCATTCTTCCCCAGAAGTAAACATACTCCGAAGTTAGTGTGTATTTTCCTCCAGGTTTATATTCTTTTGTCAAATATGTATGTATTAAATATAATATATAATATTTTGTTCTTAAATTTAAGGTACAATAATGCATGTTTCATCTTTTCAATTTGCTTTTTCACTTATCATTTTCAAAGATTCATTCATTGTGATACATGGATTATTGTAGATCCACTTTTTTCCTTTTTATTGAATTATAGTTGACATACCATATTATACCTGGTGGGGCAATAGCAGGTTTAAGGTTGTGAGTACATGAAACAGTTTATTCTTGTATTATTACTTAATTATTACTTATTTTCCATACGAACACCTGTAAACCTACTTTCCCCACCCTGTGCTGGTGTCGGGTGTACATGACAGTGATTTGATCTCTCATGCGTTAGGAAACTGTAAGTCTGGTTACCATCAGTCTCCATACTAGTTTATTGACTACATGCCCTGTGCTGTGTGTTACATTTGTATGACTTACTTTATTTTATTTTTTTAACTTAAAAAATACATTCTTTGGCTTTCTTTTATTTCTGGAGGATTACACTAAATAGGAACCACACAGTGAAGTGCCCCAGCCAGTCCCCCACCCCACACAGTGAGGTACCCTCCGTGGGGTGTCAGCTGATGCTCCCTGTCCAGCACTGAGGGCTTCTCCATGACCCCTGCCGCCTGACCCCCTCTCTGGCCATCTGCCCATCCATCCGTGAGAGCTGGCAGAAGCCCTACTTGGAGGAGGAGGTCAAACTGAAGAGGACGACGATGAGGGCGTTGTGGCAGCTGTTGGCTTTCTGCTGCAGCAGCCTGGCCGCCAGCAGCGAGGAGGCCCGGCCTGGGCCGCTGCTCCCTTAGTCCGCCATGTTTCCCGGTAGCTCTCGGTCAGCCCACACTCGCTGGGGTCCGAATTGTGCCAAGCACTCTTCTGTGGCCAGGTGGGGTGCTGCACCACGCCTCAGCCCGGGAAAGAGAAAATGCACCCCCGGCTTCAGCTGGCTCTGGGAGCCCAAGAGCAAGGCTCTGAAGTTGGACGGGCACGGTGGCACGGTCCACCTAACGCACAGTGCTGTTGAGGTCCTGTAGGTGCGACGACAGGAGGGCGTGTAAGGTGCACTTTAGCCCTGTAGCATTTACCTGCTGGAACCCTGGAGGTCAGCATTGCGGGTGCCGCGCAGGCCACCAGGCTGCTGCCCTCTGAGTGCAACCAGGTGCAGCACCGGCTGGAAGTCCCAGTGGGTGGCGCAGGAGCGCAGGTGGGGCGGGCTGGTTAGGGTGCATGTGGGGGCTATGGTGCAGCACTCCAGTGTACGGTTGGGTGTGGGGCAGGCATGGAGGCCTCGCCAGGATGCCGTCTGCCCACCAGAGCTGTGCTGTAGAGTGGGCTACTCCCACCCGGGGTGCGGGTTACACTCGTGCAGCTGGGCAGGGCTGCAGATTAAGGCATTTATTTTATAACCAGAAGTTTGTACCTGATAATCCCATTCACCTATTTCATCATCCCTCACCCTCTTCCCCTTTGACAACTACTAGTTTGTTCTTTGTATTTATGAGTCCCTTTCTTTTTTGTTTTCCTTGTTAGTTTGTCTTGTTTTTTAGTTCCACATAGAAGCTGGTCTTGGAAGGATGGGGACAGAGGTCAGAGTGGAGTTTTGATTCAATTCAATAATGCTGCTCATTCTTGTATTTGGTCCCTAGTACAGTGCCTGACACATGTGCTAGGTAGACACGTAATAAATATTATGTGGTGTGTGGGCCATGGTAGACACATAATAAATATTAATTGACAGGTTGAAGGGAACTGAATATACTTAAGGTCTACCAGCCAAAATACAAAAAGGCATACAAGATACGACCCCAGCCCTTGGGGGCTCTGGGTATAGTTGGGCAGAAAATACACACTCATGAGGGAATTATATATGGCACAAGAAGATTCACTGTCCATATGTTTGGGACTCTAGGAAGCAAGGGCCAGTATTTGAAGAAAGAAACCCCTGGGGTTTGGATGTGGCTACTAACAGAGGATGTGGGGAGGGGGACTAGTTCAAGCTGGGCCCGGAAGGACAGGACAGGGTTTGGAGAGGAGCGGAGTGGGGAGGGAGCGGGTAGAATGAGGTTGGTGTCCTCCCAGGGGCTGTGTGGACTGGACAAGCAGTGGTGGGGAGGAGGGTTTTGATTGGTGAGGGGGAGGTGAAGGTAGAGAGCGGAAAGTCCATGGGCCAAGTGCATGTTTAGATGTCAAGATTCTGCTTTTGCAGGCTCAAAAAGAGTAGAAAATAATTCAATATCTTCACCCAGACTCCATTTTGGGCCACAATGTGAGACCCCTGGCTCAGGCATTGAGTCAGGATTTGTGCAAGGATTTGTGTCATTGTGACTCTGTGTGGCCATTACATGGTTTCCCATTTCTGTGGCTTGGGTTTGTCCCTTTAGGAGCTTCTAATTGTAGGTGACAGAAATCAGGGTGTGTTGAAACCTTTCTGTTTGGCTTGTTCCTATTATTCAGGAGATAATTTCCTCTAAGCACAGGGCTGATCCTAGCATTCTTCACCCGTGATTGTTTCCTCATCCCCCCATATACAGGAGTCTCCCCACCCCTGCCACTTATCCAGGCTTTCACTCCCCATGGTTTCAGTTACCCGTGGTCAACTGCAGTCCAAGAATATTAAATTGGAAAGTTCCAGAAACAAACAAATCATAAGTTTTGATTGGGTGCTATTCAGAGTAGGGTGATGAAATCTTGCTCTGTCCCTTCTGGGATGTGAATCATCCCTTTGTCCAGTGTGTCTGCCTTGTACACCCACCTGCCCTCTAATCACTTAGTAGTTACCTGGATTATCAGATCGGCCGTCATCGTACCGCAGTGCTGGTGTTCACGTAACCCTCATTGTACTTAGTAATGGCCCCCAAAGCAATGAGTAGTGATGCTGACAATTCGGATGTGACAATAGGAAGACATAAAGTACTTCCTTTGAGTGGAAAGGTGGAAGTTCTTGACTTATAAAAGAAAGACAAAAAGTCGTATCTAAGATCTATGGTAAGAACAAAGCTTCTATCCACAAAACTGTGCAGAAGGAAAAGTAAATGGTGCTAGCTTTGCTGTCATACTGCAGACTGTAGGAGTCGTGGCCATCGTGCATGCTAAGTGCTTGGTGAAAAGGAAAGGCGTTACATTTGTGGGTGGACAATACGAACCGATAGAGACCACATTCGCAGGACTCTTATTCCAATATATTGTTGTAAGTGCTCTATTTTATTATTAGTTGTATCTGTGAACACCTTATTGTGCCTAATTTATAAATGAAACTTCACCATAGGTGTTCACGTAAAGGAAAAAGCAGAGCAGAGACAGGGTTCCGTGCTGTCCGAGGTCTCAGGCATCCGCTGGGGGTCCTGTTTGTTCCCCTTCCCACAGAGGGGTCTACTGTTCCCTGCCTCCGCTGTTCCTTCCTCAAGGGCTGGCAGGGAAGAGAAGCAGGAAAAGGGTGATTTTCTTTCAGACTTCCCAGCTGAGTTCTTTGACATTTGTGGGGGCCGGCATGTGGGCCAGGGAGCCTAATGGTGACCTGAGTCTCTGCCCTCAACTCCCACCTCCCAGCCTGTGTGTGGCCTGCCAGATTCCCTCAGGGCTTTCTCTCCGGGTTAGAAACGTTTCTGCGTGTTGGCGAAGGTCTTCTCTCCCCTCTGGCTTCCTCATCCACAGCAGCCTGGATGTTCCTCGCTGCGCGGAGGCCGGACTTGATGGCAGTGTCTATCCACGTGTGGGGCAGGCAGGTGTGCTCGCCAGCAAGGTGGATGCAGCCCTCTGGCTGGAAGAGCTGCTGCAGACAGTCCTCACATTGGTAGGGTGTGAACTCAGCGAAGGCACCCATGACGAAGGGATCCAGAGACCGCTGCCTGAGCGCAGAGGAGGGGCACATGCGCTGCAGCTCCTCCTTGGGTGCCTGGTGCACAGCCGCCAGGTCCTCCAGGACGATATCCACCACCTGGTCATGCTTCAGAGATATGAAGAAGAGGGAATCGTCATCCACAGTGTAGGAGGCCAGCAGGACACCCTTGCCGCTGGGAAGGCTGTGACTGGGGTAGTAGATGTAGTGCAAGGGCCGGTCGGTGATGGAGACCCCGCCCCGAATGCCATCCCGCTCTCACAAGGGCTCATTGCAAGCCAGAACTACCTTGGTAGCGGTGGTGTAATGCACCAAGCGGAGCGCGTCCACCTTGTCTAGGGAGACTGGTGGTGTGAAGGTGATGAGGCCTGTGGCCTTGGCTGAAGTGGAGGTGATGACAAAATCCGCGGTGAGGTTGTGCAGTGCTGAGTTGGACTCGCCCAGCCGGTAGGAAATCTGGACCTCGGGCCTATCCCTCACCACCATCTCCACCTTGGAGCCCAGATAATTGGTACTGGGCTTCAAGCTGGCGCCGATGGCTTTGGGAAGCTGGTGGAAGCCACCTGTGACTTCGGTAAAGCTGCAGGGGTGAAGAGAGGAGAGCGGGTGAGGGTGGGAGGCATGAGGCCATGATCCCCGGTTGCCTGCAGCTTTCCTGCTCCCAAAGGGGAGGAAACTACCTTAATATACATACCCCATAAATGTCATCTTAACTAATCTCTGCAAGGGAAAGATTATTCTTGAATTTGATAGTTTGGAACACTGACACCCAGAGAAGAAGGAATTTCCCAAAAAGACAGCCTGTGACTGTCTTGCCTCCCAGAAGGGGTCATTACACTTGGGTTTGGATTCTGGGTCCAGCCCTTGGTCCAGTTGTGGGAGCTTGGCTGTTAACAATTTCTCTGGGCCTCAGAAGCCTCACTGGTAAAATGGCTCTGAGTAATAGTACCTACCTTCCAGGTGATCATAAGATTAAATGTGATAATTTTGGGGAAGTGCTTAGGGTGGTGCTTGGCACATAGTAACTGCTCAATAATCAAAGTTCCCTTCCTCTGCTCTGAGCGTCGTAGGAGGGGCAGACTTGAGTCCCGATCCAGACCAGTCTTCCTCGTCACTCTTGGAGACGGTGCTGTCAGATCGCAGGGCCTCTGGGAATGACTTATAGAATTCAACGTCCTCGTGCATCAAATCCCTGATCATCTTTACTGCTCCTGGGCTCAGCATCCCTTCTTTCGGCAGGTAAGCCTGTGGGAAGGTGGAAGCATCAGATAGAGGGCCCAATATGTAGGAAGGAGCTTGGGTCAGGCAAGGGGTGGGACTGGACTCCAAGGAGGTAAAGGCTTTGGCAGTGGGAAGAGAGGGTCCTGGTAGGCAGGGGACGACCCTGGGAGCTAGCTGAGCACAAACTCCCCTCCATCTCTATCCTGCTTCACCCACCTTGGTGGAGTAAGAATCATACAAGGACATCGGGGGGGCTGCAGTTGAAATTTTCCAGATTTTGTGTGAGCTGCAAAAGGGGAGGAGAGGGAAGCAGCTTTAGAATGAAGCCAAATGTCCAGAGAAGCAGGACTCCTGGGTTCTCAAGGATGTCCCCTTGAGAGGGTGGGGCAAGGAGGTGGGTGGAGGGCAGGACCTGAGGAAAGATGCTACCAGGAGCTCCGAAACACTTCTCTTCCCCCTCAAATCCCTCCTTTGTTTAAAGATCTTTGGAGACTAAGACTTGACGTGAAGACTTCCACTGCAGTCTAGCAGAGCTGATTCCTTACGAAGGATTCCTGTTCCTTCCACTGCCGCTGACTAAGCAATGACCCCGCACCACCCAGGGACAGAAGGTATGGAGCTGGACACTAGGGTTGGGGTGGCAACATGCTTAGAGGGTTTTAGAATGAAGGCCAACCAATCACAAAAGCATTGGAATCAGGTGACCTGGGTCCATCCACTAACTTGCCAGGTGACTTCAGGCCAGACCTGGTCTTTCCCAACATTGGGAGGGGTGAGGCAGCGGGCACCTTGACCGTGGACTGTTGGAACAGATTCTCAGTTCTCTTGCCCTTCTCCATGGGGTTCATAGAATAGCCCAGGAGCTCTGGGTTGGCCTTAACCTCCCTGGCATGATAGCGCTGTCTGTTGATGAGGTATCAGGTGTTGCCATCACATTGGATAAACCTGTTCAGCTTCAGGCCCAGCTTCTTGACATCAGCGTGGACCAGCCTGGAGCAAATACAGGCATAACATGGCACCTCGTTCCTGCTGGCCTCCCAATACAGGCTGTTTCCGGGAAAATCAGTTTCTCCATGTGCCCAGGGATCTGAGATTAACTGCTTCCTCATCTCCAACCCTGTTTCTTCTCGGTGTGGCATCAGTTCTTTTCTTTCTTTTTTTGCTGCAAGGCAGGCACTAGTAGAGTAGGATGTTCACCCTTCACAGGATGAAGGCCCTTTAGGAAATTCTGGTGTACAGAATTCCAATATAGAGACAGAGGCTTTTTGATTCAGACATCTGAAATTCTATTTTCCATTCTAGGTAACTTTAAGGCTGTATGTAAGGACTTTTAGTTTAGTTTAGTTTAGTTTTGGGTGATGTCTGGAGGGAAATCTCAAGTTCAGTTTATACTTGAAAAAGAAGTCATACCCTGGCCGGATAGTTCAGTTGGTTAGAGCATCATCCTGATGCACCAGGGTTGTGGGTTTGATCCCCGGCCAGGGCACAGACAAGAATCAACCAGTGAATGCGTAACTAAGGGGAGCAATAGATGCTTCTCTCTCTCTCTCCCTCCTCCCACCTCCCTCCCTCCCTCCCTTTCTCTAAAATTAATTTAAAAAACAAGAAGTTATATTTTTGGAGGTATGTGGGATAGCAGGAGAGGGATCTTTTTTTGTCTTGGAGGCGTCAGAACCGGGAGTCAGTTACGGTTTGGAAATCAATCATCTGCTTTTGGGTTGGGCGTGTCCTTCATGTTGAGGAGTTTTGTCACTTTCTCCTGGGAAATCTTGGGTGAGTCACTTGATATCTCCGAGCCCAGTTTCTTGGTTTGTCAATGGGAAACATAACAGTATCAGACTGCAAGGCTGTGAGGGCCAAATGGAATGATGTACAGACAGTGCTTAGCACACGGGAAACGCTCAGCACATGGCAGCTCTTGCCGTTTGACAGCTCTTACTGTGGCATGATTGACATATGAGAAGCTGCCCATATTTAAAGCACCACTGTGATGCATTAATGGTAACTATTATCATTATTAGCTTGGGATCTTCCACTTTCTCTGTGTCCCTGGGGTCTGAGCCTCAGCTGTCTCTGCCAAGTGGGAGACCGGTGTTCGTCCTGACTTGCAGGATCGAATCAGACAGGACAGTGAATCAGAAAGAGCTCTGACTCAATGGTATCAGGGCCCACACTACCTCCTCCTAATCCCTCCTACCTTCCCTCCCTCCATCCCTTCCCAGGACTTACCTGTGGGACTTTGGGATTCACATGGGCCCCAGTTCACAGTACCAGCCCTCCTCCTCATTCCTGATTGTGACCACTCGACCCCCGACGTGGCCACTGGCTTCCAGGACGGAAACCTGTGGTTCGGAGAAGCCACTGTCATTCCCAGGGTCAGTCTCTCCCGTCTCCCACTCTGTGTTCCACCCCCACCAAGTCACGGGCTCCAATCTGGAATCCCAGCAGTGGGTCCCTGAGTGTGCAGGACAGCCAAACTGGGGGAGTGGGCGGTCCTCCAGGAGGGTCCTGAGCAATGTGAATGAGGCAGAAGAGCGCCACGTGGCAGGGAACAGAGTATCTCTTGGTCTTTAACTGTTAGCACACCCCTTCTCTACTTTTGTTTCCACTGAAACACAGTTTGCCATTAAGTTTAAGTCTCGGGAACCTGGAGTTTTGAGAAACAGTAACTGAGGGCCTAGAGGCCCTGTGGGTTACATGCAGATTTTTTCTTTTTCTTTTTCCATCCAAGGAGGCAAACCCAGAGGTCAATGGTTGAGGCCCCTCCAAAGCCTGCTTACCTGCTGGCCAGTGTCCTGTAGGGTCTTGGCCGCCACCAAGCCTGACATGCCAGCCCCCACTACCACCACGCTTTTTGCCAGTGGGGAGGTGTGGAGGCCCTCCTGGGCTGTGACAGGGAGGGACTCATATTCAGGGTCCTGGAAGCACTTGCCCAGGTCCTCATGGTAGGCAAAGCAGCTGGGGATAACCAACAGGAACCCCAAGATCAGGATTCCTGGAGCAGTGAAAGGAAGGGGGCTGCCTTTCTGGGGCCCAGCTTGGTACCCCACCTTACCCAGGGTGGGCTCGGCTGTATTACCCAGCAGGGATGGTAAGATCAGGCAGCGTCTACCAAATGCGTGGTTGTAAACACGTGTATTTGTGATTGTGTCTCTGTGGGGAGGACTGTGTTGTGTGGGGTGTGAATGTGTGTGTGAACCGTGCTGATGTTAGTTGCGTGATAGTGATAGTGGGGGACTGCAAGTTCGTGTGTGTGCACGTGATTGGAAACTCATGAGTGTGTGCAGGCTCATATTAGACTATAAATATGCCAGCTTCTGATGGTGAGTGTGCATGTGTAGGTGAGCTTGTCTGTGATATGTTGCTGTGATTGTGAGTTTGTGAGTGCTGCCCTGCATTGCCTGGGATCGTATGTGAAAGGTGTGTTTGTGGGGCAGAGACAGTACCCGAGTAAACGTGTGCGTGAATCTGTATGGGGAAGTGAGGTGGGTTTAGTGTGTGCTGTTAGCCTGGGTTTGGAAGAAGGGGGGGTGCTATGTGTGCATTTCCCTGTGTTGGAGAAAGAATATATATGGTTTCTCATGTTCCTGTGTTTGATTCTGTGTGTGCATTTGGGTGTGAGGCTGGGTAGGGGAGCCTGACGGTGTCTGTGTTCTTTGGGAATATATGCATTTGTGAGAGGATGTGTGTGTGTGTAAGTGAGAGTGTGTGAAGCAAAGTTCTCTGCAGGGGAAGGGAGTGGGGTCATTGCAACATTACTAGTGCCCCGGGGGACCTTGGCAATCCCATGCTCTTCTCCAGCCTCTCGGCATTTTTTCAAGGCCCTCCAGGAAGTGCGTGAGTCCTGAGTGACTTGGTTTTCTTCGCCACCATTAACTGCTCTGAGCACAGAGAAATTCACTGGGGGCTCTGAAGCAAGAGGCCCTGTGGCTTCCTCAGTGTTGCCAGTTCTAAAAGGGAGAAGCCAGGAGCTGGGACACCTTGTTGCCCCCTTGCAATGGCTACAGTTTTGTTTTTTTTTTGGCAGGTGAGAACCCCTTAGTCTAGTCTTTGTACAGGTAGAACAACTGAGGTTCGCAAAAGAAAAGGGACCCTCAGGCACTCCCTGGGAGAAGAGGCAGGGTACCCAGCTGCTTCCCGAAGCAGGCCTTTCCCAATGCCAGGAGAGCCTTCTGCAGGGTGACTCCCCAGAAAAGGGGAGGGAGGCAACCACGCCCCATGGAGGGAGCCTCAAGCCTCAACCCACTTCCCCTCCCCCTGGCCCACTTCAACCTCCCTAATCTGTTCTCCACCCCTGACAAACTTTCCCATCTTCCTGAATTACCATCATTCCTGTCTTAGACTTGATGTCCTTCCTCTTGAATGGACCCAGGCCCCAGACTCATTTTCTAGCCCTACAACCATTCTCTTTACTCACTTCCAACACCTGGACCTATGTGTAGCCCCTGATCTGGCCCCTGTCACATCTTAGCCCCGCCCCCTTCCCCTTGCATGGCTTTATGCCTAGACTCCCCTTCGGGTCCATCTCCACATCCCCGGCCCATTTCCACCCTTCACTCTAGCTCTTCTCTCTGTCTCAGGGTTCAAGACCTCCTTCCTCAGACCTAAAGAAGGGACCCCACTCACCCCTCATCTTGGCCATGGACCTGCAGCTCATGCTGTGCCCTGGGCAGCTCCCTCTCTTTATGAGAAGCCAGTTCCACTGCAGCAGCCGCTGGCCTCATCCCACCAGCCTGCCCCGGGGCCCTATTGGCTGGCCTAGCAGGCAGAGAAACTGTGCCCTCAAGGCCTGGGCTGTCGGGTGACATGATCATGGTGACTCAGTCCCATGCCCATCCTCATCTTCTGCACCTCACCTTCCTCCTGGCCTCTCTCCCCTCCTAGAAAAATGAATTCTTCCAGCCAGACCCCAGCATCCGAGTTCGGAGGAAGGACCTCATTTTTTTTTTATCAGAAGAGAGGTGTGGGAGGGATCATAGAGGACCAAGTTCTTGCATTATTTGAAAATGCCTTCATTTTTAGAGGCATTTTTTATTGTTAAGTTTCATCTTAAATTTTTATGGCTATTGATTTAAAAAAAGATTGTATTTATTTTTAGAGAGGGAGAAGGGAAGTAGAAAGAGAGAATTAAACCAGTAACTGGGAATTAAACCAGTGACTTTTTGGTTCACAGACCAGTGCTCAACCCACTGAACCACACCAGCTAGAGCCTGTTGATACTGCTTTGACCAAGTATAGAATTCCACAGTCAGACACCATTTTCACTAGGATCCTGGAAGGCATGTCTTCAATTTTTTTTTGGAATCCAATGTTCCTGATAAAGTCTAATGTTAATTCTGTTTCTTGTTCCTTTGCAAGTAATCTTTCATCTACCCCATCACTTAGAGCATATAAAGATTTTCATTAGTTCATAGGAATTCTGAAATTACATGAAGACATGTATGGATGTTGATTTTCTTCCAGTCATCTGGTTGGCAGACAGGAGCCCTTTGAGTCTAAAGACTTCAGCCTTCGCTGGCTCAGGGAATTATCTTTCTATTTTATTAGTTATTTCTGTTTTTTAAGAAATATTTTATTTGTTTATTTTTTAGAGAAAGGGAAGGGAAGAAGAAAGAGAGGGAAAAAAACATTGATGTGAGAGAGAAACATCAATTAGTCTCAACCCAGACTGAACCCAAAACCCAGGGATGTGCCCTGACCCGGAATCGAACTGGTGACCTTTTGCTCTGCGGGATGACACCCAAGCAACTGAGCCACACCGGTCAGGGCCGTTGTTTCTGTTCTTCTCCTAGAATTCCTAGTGGGTTGAACTGGAATCTTTATCTTTTCATCATTTATTTTTTCTTATAGTTTCCATTTCTTTATAATTTTGTCTACACTTTGAAAATGATCATTATGTAAATTGTATCTTCCTGTGTGTATCTGCCACTTGCTTTTCTTTCCCTCAACCATATAATTAGGAGCCTCCCGTGTGAACACATGTGCTTCTAATTCATTCACGTTAAATGTTCAATAAATATATAATGATTTATCTGTCTCTTTCTTTTTAATGGACATTCAGTTTATTTTCAGATCTGCTCTATCACAAACAATACCTCTATAGTATTCTTGCATGTTCTCCTCGTGTACATGTGTGAGTTTTTCCAGGGAGTTTTTCTGAGAATGGAATTGCTGGATTATAGGGCATTCTGTCTTTCAGCTTCACTGGATAATGCTCAATTGTTCTCCGGTCAGTTGTGCCAATCTGTATTCCTACTGGCAGCGTATTGTACTTCTGATTTCTTCACAGCTGAGTCAATACTTGGTATTGTCAGTTTCTTGATTTTTGCTAAATTGGCAGGGGTGAAATAATACTTCTTCATTGTTTATTTTGCATTTCCCTGACTATGAGTGAGGCCGAACACCTCTGTATATTTGATTATTTGGGTTTCTTGTTTGTATCTTGCCTGTTTCTGTTCTCTATTTATTTTTCTATTGGATTTTGTCTTTTTCTAATTGATGTGTAGAAGTGTTACAGAACAAACAAGGGGGGCCTGGGATGATATACTATTATTGAAAGAAGCCCCCAGGTCCGTTATGTCCGCCGCCAGAGGAAAGATGTCTCACAATGCCAGAGATTTGTGAAAAGGAAAGGAAATGTTTATTTAATGCTATACAAACTTAAAGTAGGGACCTAATGTCTTCACCAAAAATCCTAAAGTCCCTTAAAACACCCACAGACAGACACAGTCCTTCCTTCCTTCCCCTTTTGCCCCGCCCAGAGTACTGTAACTCCTAAAGCTGCGGGGGTCCCCACTCTGGCAAAGGCATGTGGTCCTCTCTCCCTGGACCACAGGAGTCCCCACTCTGCCAGACCCGCGTGGTTCTCTCCCTCAGGGCCGAGAGAGTCTTCACTCTGCTAAAGCTGTGTGGTTTTCTCTTGCAGGGCTGCGCATGGTTCTCCTCCTTCAGGGCTGCGCATAGTCCCGCCCCCCCAATGGCTGCCGTGCCTGGGTTTAAATCCCAGCGCCAACCTTCCTCTGAAGCCCCATTTTCGGCTCCTCTCACAATTGGCTACAGCTGCTAGATTCTGGGCAGGTGTGGCCCTGTAGTGTGGAGCCAATTATCTCCAGGCTCTTCTGGATCTTATTACAGATCCCTATTTGAGGCTCCCCTCTTGGCTGCACCCTGTTACAGAAGTTATTTTTCAAAAGAGATTTTATTTATTTATTTTCAGAGAGAGGAAAGGGAAGGAGAAGGAGAGGGAGAGAAACATCAATGTGTGGTTGCCTCTAACACGCCCCGCACTGGGGACCTGGCCTGCAACCCAGGCATGCGCCCCAACCAGGAACCAAACCCATGACCTTTGGGTTTGGGTTTGTAGGCCAGCACTCAATCCACTGAGCCACCCAGGCTGTGCATGATTTGTCAAGTTTTTTATGCTATATACATTATAGATATTAATTTTTCATTATAAACATTGCAAACACTTCCCCTAGCCTAAAAGTTTGATTTTTAACTTTATTTATGGTGTTCATTTTCACACATAACCACTTATTTAATGTTTCTATGATCATGAAAATAGTATCTCATATTATTATATTCATTGAATAAATGCTTGTCAAGCATCTATTAAGTCCCAGGCATTGTGCTAGGGCTTGGAGAATTAGCAGAAAACAGCACAGATAAAAATCCCTGTTCTCAGGAAGCCTCAAGGACACAGATAATAAACCAAATAAGTAAGTGAAATACATCGCATGTTAGAAGACGACAATTGCTCCAGAGCTAAAGAAAATGATAGTGAGGGAGGGATAGGGAGTTCCAGCGATGGAGTGGTTGATTTAGAGTAGGGTGAGTTGGAAAGGCCTCCCTGAGAAGGTGACATTTGCAGGAATGATATGAATGAAGTGAGGGAGGGAGACATGGGCCAATGCAGGGGAAGGAGCTCACTGGTCAGAGGGAGCAGTAAATGCAGCCTCTTCGCTTCTCTGAGGAATAGGAGGAGCATGGCTAGAGCAAAGTGAGTAAGGAGAGTAGTAGGAGCAGAGGTCAGAGAGGAGAGGAGGTGCCACATCATGCAGGGCTTTGCAGGTGATTGTATTGGCTTCAGTTCTTGCTCTGAGGGAGAGGGGGAACCATTGAAGAGGGTTGGCAGAGGACTGACACGATCTGAGTCATGCTGTGAATGGACCACTCTGGCTGCCACATGGAGAACAGGGCATCGAGGGGAAGGGTGGCAGCTGGGAGCCTGGCAGAAGGCCTCTGCAGAGATCCAGGTGACGATGGAGAGCTGGTGCTGTCTGGGCCAGGGTGGCACTGGTAGAGGTTGTGAACAGTGGCTTCTGGTTGTGTTTCAAAGGCAGAGCTGACAGGGTTTGCTGAAGGTTTGTATGTAGAATGAGAGGAAGCCAAAATTCCAAGAAAACTCCAGTGTTTCTGACCTGAGCAACTGAAGGATGAAGTTAATTGACGTAGGAAAGAGTTCAGGGCACAGGTGTGGGGGAGAAGAAGATCAGGAGCTAGTCAAGTTTGAGACATTGGTCAGGCAAAACAGAAGTCTGGAAGTGTGGTAGTTCTGGGTCAGTCAACTCAGAGATTCCACAGCATCACCAACACCCTTGGTTTTGTCCAGCCTTGAAGCTGCTAACCTCAGAATGCTGGTGATCACACGGGACCCTTTATGGTCACCTGATGAATGAAGCAGTTCTGAGTACCATGTGCCAACTTGACAACATCAAGCAAAAACAGGGCACTTTCCCCCTCACGTGTCTTTGTTTTGTAAGTGAGGAAAAACCTTTCCCAGAGGCCCCCAGCAACCTTCCCACAGTCTGACTGCTCAGGATCAGGTCACATGCCTGTTGAAACCAATTGGTGGCAAGAAGAAGAATACTACCACCCCAATCAGACCAACCAGGATTCATACCTGGGGGCGAGGGAGATGGTCACTTCCCTGAGCACACAACTGTCGAGATGACCAGAATCAGGGCTCTGTCCTTGAGGAAGAAGTGAGTGTGGAGGTTGTCCCACAGTGACTGTGCACTGGGGAAAAGGATGTACACAGACTTTTCAGGTACTGCTGGACACTGGCTCTGAACTGACACTCATTTCTGGAGACTCGAAATGTCACTTGTCCACCAGTCAGCATAGGGGCTGATGGAGGTTAGGGGATCAGTGGAGTTTTAGCTCAGGTCTGGTTCACAGTTGGTGCACCTGGGTCTTTGAGCCCCTCCTGTGTTTGTGTCCCCGGTTCTGGAATGCACAACTGAAATAGACATAGTCAGGAGCTGGAAATCCCCACATTGACCCCTGACCTGTGATGTGGTAGGAAAGGCCAAGTAGAAGCCATTAGAACTGCCTTTAAATATAAAAATAGTAAGTCAAAAACAAATACCATATTCCTGGAGGGATTGCAGATTAGTGCCACCATCAAGGACTTGGAGGATGCAGGGGATGATGATTCTACCTCATCCGCATTCAACACACCTGTGCAGAAAACAGGTGCATCTTAGAGAATGACTGGATGATCACAGACTTAGTTAGGTGATGACTCCCACTGCAGCTGTGTTTCCAAATGTGGTTTCAATGCTTGAGCAAATGGACACATTTTCTGGCACCTGGTATCGATCTTGCAAATGCCCCTTTTTTTCAACATCTCTTAGTAAAGACCCCAGAGATAGT